GGCTCTAGTTTCCCGGCGCAGTGCAGGGTGGCGAACCCCGCGCAAAGCTAGTTTCGAGCAGCACAACCCAAGGCGCGCTCAGTTTGATAGTTTGGCAGACCGAGGTGCGCTGACATGGGTGTGGCGGTGCAGCAGGGGGAGGTGTCGACAGATCCAGCTTGGCGCAGTGACAGTTTAGTGTTAAAAGGCTTCGCTGAAGGTGCGCTAAAAGCTCGCCACCTGAAACCAGGTCTACTGTCAGCGCAGGCAATGCAACTATCTGCAATCAGCACATAAATGAATCTCTGTATCGACTGTCCCGTCACATCTGATGTCAGATCAAAGGGGATTGGCACCGTTTGGCACGTTTGGCACGCGTAATGGAAACCCAACCTGATTTGATTAACACAGCTGCAAACTAATGAGTTCACATCCCTCTCAGCCAACCACAAACAGCCACAGCATCAGATAGGGAGTATATATTCAGCATCTGTCATCTCAGAAAAGTCAAAAGAAAAGAAACAGAGTGAGACTGCGAGAGAGAAAGAGAGAGCGTGCGCACGAGAGAAACGCAACATTGATTTACAATTGTGGTGACCTCCTCCCAGGCTACCTTTGCATCATCAGCCCGTGGAGGTCTGCTCGCAGTTCCGTATATTCGGACACTGCGAGCTTGGACCTCCCAGACCAAAACATAAGTTTCCTCCTGGGAGGAGTTTGGCCGTCTGACGCTGCTGCTCTCTTCTGCCATGGCGAATTGAGTAAACTCTCATTACGCCTTCGCGCGGCGCATTTAAGGGTGAGGAGAGGGGCTCATTTGATTGGTGTGATGTGTGTAAAACCCACTCCACGCCTTCTCTCCTCCCTCTTTCCGACTTGCGCCAGTAGGAGGGACGGAGGTGGGAAAGAGGAGTAGCTGCGGCAGGTGCACGGTGTGCCAAACTTACAAAATCCGCCTGGCCACACCCAGTTGGTGAAGCGCAGGTGCGCTGCGCCCCACCGCGCCTGGTCTGCAAAGCTAGAGCCCATAGTCTCACTCACCAGACCTTTCTCAAGAAAAGCAAGGTCTGGCTGGGCCGACTCTCACTTTAAGATTGGAGAAAAAAACGCCCTGGCTGCTTGTATTTCTTTCAACCAATCACAATCATTCTGGGCGGTGAACAGCAACGGTGCGCTTGCAAAAATATTCCCAGGGGGAAACAGGTTTTGGTGTAACACGCCCACAAAAATATCACCTACAGGACGCGAACCATGGCAGAAAAATGGCTACATCCCCGCAAGATCAAACACCGCAAAAGTTAGTAAAGGACGTGTTGAAAACGGTTGAAAACTGCTACGCAACCGTAGGTGGTAGGGTGGGACTTCAGCAGGTGGCTCGTTCCCAATGAGAGGCTGATCTATGCAGTGAACTTCCGCCCACTCAGACTAGGACAGACATGGATGTAAAGTACAACTTGACAGGTTGACAGAGGCATACACAATCTGGGACTGTCATGCACAAATCAGCAATAACAATGTAATGATAGCTAGCTAGCTAGTTAGCTACTGAGACATTAGCATACTAGCGATTTCTTTTGTTATGTTTGTTATAAAGAAAGGACAATAATATATTTAAGCATCATCAAACTAAGATAAATCAGTGATAATCATAATTTTCAAATCTTACTATATAATGACGAAAACTCTGTCTGTGTGTCTGTTCCACGTTTTTCTCCTCACTGACTTGATCAATCCATGTGAAATTTGGCACAGTGGTAGAGGGTCATGGGAGGATGTGAATGAAGCAATATTACATCAATTGGCCAAAGGGGGGCGCTATAGTAACCGATTGAAATTGCAAACTTTGAATGGGCATATCTCATGCCCCGTATGTCGTAGAGACATGAAACTTTTGCACAGAGATGCCTCTCCTCATGAGGAACAACTTAACTTCTGGTTATATAGATTTTCCGCCATTTTGAATTTTTTTAAAAACACTTAAAATCGATCTCTTCCTAGGAAGTTTGACCGATATGCATGAAACTCAGTGAACATAATCTAGGGACCAATATCTAAAGTTCCCTCTTGGCAAAGGTTGGAAAACTTACTAAAACTGAGCTTCTATAAGGCAATGACTTTAGCTATCTGCCTTTCAACGTGCTACCTCAACTACTAATGTACAGTTTTAGCCCACTAACTATCCCACTATTGCCAATGGCACTACTGTACTTTCAGTAACACAATTGTACTATCAAATTCACAAAAACTCTGTCTGAATACATTGCTCTTCTTAATGGGTTCAGTTGACTATTTAATCGTCAGTTTCCAATGACCTGTATCCCAAACATACACCATGTGAAACTGTACGTGGGCAACTGTGCACTCAATGGGTATGGACTAGTCTTTATTAACAAAGAAAATACATTTGCGGGTTTCTTTTGTTTCTTGTGGAGCCATCTTACTGATGTTTTCTAATAATACTTGGTTTAAAGTGTGCCTCTGAAAAAACTACATTCGGAGGGTTATGTAGCCCTAACACTTTGCCCTACCCCTTGACATGAATGCGCAAAAGGGAGGGGTAAGGGATAAGTGCTAGGGATAAGAAGTGTATTGGATTTGATTTGAGGGCAGGGTGATCAAGTCAAAACCAAGGCCAGACCAGTGTGAGTCCCACACTGCATGACTCACTTACAATAAAATGTGGAACATGCAAACCATATGCACTCCTAAAATTGATCTGAAAGATCCACATTCACACCAAATCACCCACAGAAAACAACTGAAGATTCCACTTCATGTATCTCTTTTATTGCCATGCCTGTGTATAGCGTATATGTGTGTATGTATGAGACCTGGGGCACCCTGCCTGTATGAGCAGTGCATGTACATTGCGGAACCGCTTGTATTGTTTTTTTCGGCACGGTGTTAACAGGTTAGAGCGGCCACACTGCCAGCATGGGGAGCACCTGCTCAGGTGCTGCTCGGCTGCTCCTCAGCTGCTGCTCAGCTGAGGCACATCAGAGAATAAGAGATTTGCCTATTTTTTTCCCACATAACGTGCGAGGTTTTCGGTAAAACTACCTGGGAAAATGGTCTTTTGACATTTATATTATACCACCTCTCAATTTCAATGTCTAGATCACTGACAGAAATGAAATAATATAAATATTTATTTAACTGAATGTTTCCTGTTTCTGTTTCAAAATAAAAGCCTTTTGACAGTGTTTCTGTGGATATAATCCCTTCATTTGTTAAGAAAAGGCTTTTTATTGTGAAATATTTGCAAGACCATGAAGCTGAAAATCCAGTGGCTTGCACTGCTCCATAAGTGATGGTAGTATTGGCCTTTAATTGTGGAAATACAGTAGTTTTAGCAGCAGGCAGCTCTGCAGCAGGGCCGCAGCAGCAACACTGTCTGTGTGAACACCTTACGCGTGCAAGCCACAGCAATTCAGCAAGGTAGTCGTCACATGCTTCTCACACAGGCAGTGTGGCCCAGGTGAAAGTGTACCATGAGAAATGGCGTGATAAAATAATCAGAGGACACTGCAGAGGTGAATTTTACGTGTGGGAATTGTCCTTTGTTTTCTATGAGCAAACAAATACAAACACACACTATGGAGTTGAATCAACTTAACCAACTTTATTCAACACTCCTTTTTTGAGCAGGCAATTTAGTTAAACCCTGCAGATGTGGTCTTGACCGGTCTTTAAATAAAAACCTGAATCCTCTTTGTCTGAGACCAAGACAAGGCTGAGTAAAAATGCGGGTGATTTTGAGATGAGATAAAGAGCTTACAAAGGTGATCTGGAGACCAGTCTTGGCCTGGAGTACGACAACACTGGTTGGCACACAAGACATCAACATACCTTACTGTTTTATACTTACAGAAAATGATGCAACAGAGCAAAAGCAATCAAACTGTGACAGAAACTGAGCCAGCACAGTGTTTTTCCAGCAGTTCAGCTCTAAGTATTTTCCTGGAGCTTTTTCACCAACATCCAGAATTATTAATCTTGTCACTTTTCCAGTTTCCACCTACTTAGACTTTGTATGTATGTGGATTTAGGACACAGCTATACTCTTTCTAGGTGCAATAGAAAATAATCAGGTCTGTACTCCACACCTGTACTATTGCAGTTCAAACAGGTGGTTGATATTACTGCAGGTATTGATGTATTGCTGAAAAGTTATCCTAACTGTACCACTCACAACTGCAAGTAAGAACACCAAGAAAAAGAAATATCTGTACAGCAATTCTTTCCTCAGTCTTCCCTCATTCCCTCATCTTTCTATATGTATACCTACTTATTTCCTTTATGTCTTCTTTTTCTTTCCTGCCTCCATTTCCTTATCCCCTGCCCATAAGAAAAATAAAACATTTGTGTCTCTTGCTATCATAGCGTTACCTTTGATGTGGTGGGTGTCTCAGAGCTGAATCTGTAGTCTATACTCCCAGCCCTTCTTGTAAAGAGCCAGCAATAAATCAATGTCTGTCTGAGTGTGCGTCTGTGTCTGGACGTGAATGTGAGGTTTGCATGTATGTGTGAATGAGGGAGAAACTTGATGGTTAGCCAGAATGACAGAACAGATGAATAGGCCTGCACACAGCTCACCACTTTACCCCCTACTGCTGATTGAGAGTACTACATTAAACAGCACAAACAAACAGAGCAGGTTTTCCCACGAGAAAATAAAGTGAGGAAAAAGCAGCAATAATATTTGTCCTTTTGGTGAGGGACAAATACAAGATATCAGTCCTGAAGTAATCAATATACACGGCAGCGCTGCATATTGATCAGCTGCTCAAACACCTGGAATCAAAGCGCTCACAGTCGTGATGATAATCACCCCAGAACATATAATTGATTATTATGATAATAGCAACAATGACTTGATCACAGTGTTTGCGTCGCTGATGATGATGATGATGACATTTCATTATAACAGTGATTATAATGATGATGATATTTTGGTGGTGTTATGAAGATGATTACAATAATGACACTGTGTTGTGATTCTTGTTTTCCTCATTTTACAGGCTCTGGACAAAGACACCGGTAACTACAGCTCTATGATGTACAGGCTCATCATTCCCCCTCCTGCTGGCAAAGACAGTAAAGATACTAAAGACGGCTTTGTCATCGAGCCATACACCGGCGTGGTGAAGACAGCAATCATGTACCGGAACATGAGGCGGTCATATTTCAAGTTTGAGGTGGTTGCTACGGACAACTATGGTAAAGGACACAGCAGTAAGGCGGAGATAGTGGTAGGTATATTTATATTTTTTATGTTGGTAGCAAGTTTAATACAGGTTTCCCACAGTCATGAAATTTATGGAAAAGTTCTGAAATTAGAAAAACTGTTTTCCAGGCCTGCACATGGTTTTGAATTAACACAATGTTTTGGGAAAGTTTCAAATATACTTCAGTCAGGACCGCTTTAGTCAAAGAAAGCTTTATTTCCATTTGACAGTATGGCTCTGTTTTGGGGCTTCTCTGCCCTTCCTAGTCCCACACAGAAAGCCTCTTCCAAGTGCCTATGTGGAAAGCCTAATGCAGAAAGAGCGCACCTCTCTGCCCTTCCACGCACCTACGTGGAAAGCCTCAAGGCAGAGAGAGCACACCTCTCTGCCCTTCCACACACAAATGAGGAAAGCCCCGACAAAATCAGTAGGCCCATACTGGAATAGCTAAACTTAAAGAGTCTGCCTTTCAGCATGATTTGTTTTCCTCTCTTTTCAGCTATGCGCCAATGTGATAGCGCCGCCATATATGAAACACAGCTGTGTCAGCTGGCTTAATTTCCTTGCACTCCTTTCAGATGGTTCTATGACAATCAAATGTTTAGTCAATGATTTATGCCTAAAGAGAGTGTGATGGGTAACCTTTAACTGAAAAGAGAGACATTGATCACATAATTTAGTCATATTTAATAAAAGTGTAGATTTGAAAAAGATTTTTTTTGCTTTGAGTGAGGTCCTTGAAAATGAAGAGAAAACTGTGCTTGAAAAAGTACTTTGTAAGTCCTTGAATTTCATTTTGTAATGTCTGTATGAATGCTTTTGGAGTCATTTCCTCCAACTTATATTCTACGTTTTTCTCTCAACACCAATAAAGTGGCATAATTTAACTCAATTGCAGTGAGATTTGCTAACCTCAATTAAGACTTTAAATTATTTTGCTTGATGCTTAGGGGTGGTGTTGTGCTTTGCTCATGGTGCTCTGTTGTGTGCTGGTGTTATGTGCAACACAAGTGGCTGATGTGCAATACTGCTATGTGTAGTATTTGTTTCTATGTTTTTTTCTGATGTATGCTTTTCATTCGAGTCCAAGATGAATTTTAAAGTATAATGCATAATATCGTATTATATAGTATCGTATTGCATCGTATCATTAATTCCCAGAATGTGAAAACAAATTTGAATTGTAACAAGCTTGAAACATAGTTGGATTTTAACTGTTATCTTTTCCAATACAAAGCTGTGGAAGTGCCATCTGATGAGGTTTAGTGAAATATTTTACAGCTGAACATTCGTTTTTCTGCTCAGTCTAAAATGAGCTTTAATTGCATTTTTTTTCTCTCTGTTGTGTAGGTGTCAGTCGTGAACCAGCTGGACATGCAGGTGGTTGTGTCAAACGTCCCTCCAACTTATGTGGAGAAAAACAAAGACAAGCTGCTCAGGTAATGTACATTATACTGCATTATACTGTGACACTTATAACCAAGAAATGTTAAGATTTTTTTTATTTTTAGGAAGTATACTGAAGCTCTTATCAAGAGAGCAGGTCAGTTTCAGGTTAGCAAGTGCCTTCAACATTGGAAAAAGCTGATGATGGACACCTTCTCTGGTGAACCACTGAGCCTCTGCTTACATAAAGTCTATTGTTAGACTCTGATAAGCAGCTGCTGACTCATCTCAGATAACTCGTCTTATACTATAATACCTCTGAATATGTATGTGATTTCACAGAATAATGTTAAAGGTGAAAAACAAAGCTTTTGCTATTCAGGCCCCTGAGCTGTGGAACTCTCTGTCCAAGGATCTCAGCTCTGTGACCTCTTTTTAATCTCTTCATAAAACTCACTTTAATTGTTTGGCGTTTCATGTCTCAGCGCCGCCGACAGCCATGGCCGAAGGCACTATGTTTTCGGGTTGTCCATCCTTTCATACGTACATACATCATTCCCATCCTGAATGCAGTATCGTTGTGGGAACTTTTTTTTTTTTAAATTTTGCACAAATGTTCACGCAGACTCATCACTGAAATTATTACTTTTTGGTGGTCAGCGGTCAAGGTCACTGTGACCTTGTCTGTCTTCAAGATTCAAGATCCTTTTATTGTCATTCAGCAAAAACATCAGTGATGCAAAGCAGAACGAAATTACAAGCATGGTACCGTTAAAAACACAGATATTCTCGTGAATGTGATACCTCAAGAACGCCTTGAGGGAATTTCTTCAAATATGGCTCACAGGTTGACTTGGACTCGATTTTGGTGGTGAAGGTTTAAAAATCAAGGTCACCATGACCTTGCATTCATCTCATTCTTGTGAACGCATTATCTCAAAAACAGCTCAATGAAATTTCTGTAAATTTGGCACAAATGTCCACTTGGACTCAAAGATGAACTTATCAGATTTTGGTGGTCATAGTTTAGAGGTCAAGGTCACTGTGACCTTGTCTGTTTCATTCTCGTGAGCATGATTTCTAAAGAACACCTTGAGAGAATTTCTTCAAATTTGGCACAAAGGTTGACTTGGACTTGAGGATGAAGGATGAGATCTCAATGATCAAGGCTCAAAGGTCAAGATCACTGTGACCTCGCATCCATCTTATTCTTGTGAACGTGATATCTCAAGAACAGCATGAGGGAATTTCTTCAAATTTGGAGCAAACATTCACTTGAACTGTAGAATAAACTCAGTAGAATTTGGTGGTCAAGGGTCAAAGGTCAAGGTCAGTGTTTTTGGCCATAACTCCAAAAGTCTTTTGCTAATTGTGGCAAAACTTAACACAGATGTCTAACAGGATATAATGAGAAAGTGGTGAAATTTTAAATCCAAAAGGTCAAAGGTCAACTTCACTGTTACATCATTATGTTCTGAAAGAACGCTTTTCAGGCTATTATTTTACATCATATCTCAGGAACAGAAGGGGAGACATTTGGTCAGACAACAAACTGGTGACACTGATCTTGAAACGGTGCTGATTGTATCTTCTGTGCTGCAGGTGGGAAGATGTGGGTGAAGCATCCATGTTTTCACAAACAAGTTGTGTGTTACCTAGCCCCCACCAGCTCGCACTTTTATTATCCTCCTCCACCCTCCATCTCTTGAGGCCAACACACACTCTTTATGATATTCCGTGCTACACTCAAAACATTTGGGGCTTGAGCCATGAAAACATGACCTTATCAACACCACAGTAGCAGCTTTAATGGGAGATATTCTGCCTTTGCCTCAGTGCAGCTCAGCCTGTTTCAGGAATTGCTTGAATCAAGTAAAAATATCTTCTTTCACAGTCTGCCAAATGTATTTTCATTCATTTGAATAAAGGCAAAAATGTTTATGCTAAACACAAACTGCATTATTCATTCTATGATATATATTTTGTCCATAATACACAGCTCAGTCAGGTTACTGCTTTATTTTTCCTCACACACATTAGTGGATAATGACATTTTAAAGTACTTACCATCTTTTCTCTCTACCCCTCTTACACACACGCACACACACACCTTAGTGGGACATTTCCTGCTGTGAGCAGGTGTTTCTGGCGGGACAGAAATCAATATTTCACAGCATGACTCTGCTTAGATGACAGGATGAATAAAATGTGTGTGTGGTTTTGTGTGCCTGTTTGGTTTGTGTGGTGTGACCGGGGTCTTGTAAGCACATGTTTGTGTCTACAAAGGTGTGTATTTTTGTATATGTGTTGATTAACGTGTGTGTCAGCCATGTCTCGACATATATCCTGAAGGCGTCACAATCCATCCTTTTTAATCCTCAGCATCTTGGAGCGCTACGTCCAGGAACAGATACCGGGCGCAAAGGTTGTTGTGGAAACCATTGGCCCCCATCGCCATGGTGACGGAATGGAGCAGGAAGACTACACCAAGTCGGACCTCATGATTTATGCCATCGACCCGCTGACAAATAGAGCTGTATCGAGACAGGAGCTCTACAAGTAAGAACTTTGCCAACAACAAATCCATAAAAAGTAAAGTGGCAGCACTCCAAAATCTTTATATCATAAAATGAGATAGGACTGAACCTAAATTACATGGCAATTAAGTAATTCCTAATTTAACTGGCCTCAATTAGTTTTGTTGGAGTGCTGCCATTCACACAAGTGTGCAGGTTATTTTGTTGAAGTCAGTCTTGTTCTTTCTGGCAGCTTAGACGATCAAGAAAAGTTCTCACGAATTGTGTCAGTCGTCAATTTAACTGGGTGCTATTTTTACAAAACAAAAAAGTATAACCACACAAGTAAGTGGGCAACTTGCTGACTAACAGACCAATTTGCTGCATGGATAACTTTTCTGATATTTAGCTGGCACAGAGTTCTGGCCTTTACCACCGCATATTACCACTGGTTTGATGTTGGCATCACTTGCACTGAATATTAGAGGTCAATTTATAGTTTTTTTGTCAGTTACATCACTGTGTTTCTTCTCCCAAGGTTTCTTGATGGTAAACTCTTGGACATCAATAAAGAGTTCCAGCCTTTCCTCCCTCCTGGTGGACGGATTCTGGAGATCCGAACCCCTGAGGTGGTGACCAGCGTGAAGAAAGCTGTGCAGACTGTAGGCTACACAGAGGGGGCGCTGTTGGCTCTGGCAGTTATTATCATTATCTGCTGTGTCCCAGCCATACTGATTGTCATTATCACCTACAAACAGTGAGTATGACTTATGTGTAGGTGTTGTTTTAGTTTGTTTTATGGCAGTTTCTGAATAGAAATGGAACTTAAAGACACTAACGACCGAATGAGACTGTACGAGCTTACTATCCTTCTTATTGGCTTGTGTTGGCCATATTTTACAGTAGTTTACTTTCTTTTTATCAACAAATCCCATGAAAAGGTCAAAAACCGACAGTGAGCTGGTCCTGCTAAGACCCCGCCCCTTTGTGGTCGTTAGCTGCTGATGGTCTGTCAAGCTGTCAGAGCCAGCATGGAGCCCACACTACCACTAACTGCACTCCCTGAAGAAGTATTATTTAGTTTTTGGAAAACAACAAAAGCAATTTCACAGAGAAGCAGTCTCAAGGGTTTACAATATGTGTTTGATGGATACATCCAGGATGTCAAACTCACTCAGCAGCAAAAACAAGTTAAATAGATAAAGATAGTTAAAAGCTAAAGCCTAGAGATCACAGAGTAAGACAAACTGCAACACTGTTCCTGTAAAGCATGGTAGGTGTTTGTTCACTGTTACAATCATTACAAAGCAAAAGCAGCATGTGTATACATTCAGCATAGCTTTAGTCGCAGAAATAGAATATAATATTCTTTAGTGTATAATTACCTGAAAATAATTATTGCCTTTGTGTTACCTTAGAATGAGCCTTCTATATCTACATAGGGAGTGGGTCCGCGTCTACAGAGATCGCCATGTTGCCCCACCATGTTTCTACAGTAGCCCAGTAGTGACAAACCAAACACTGGCTCGAGTTAGGGTCATTCATGTTATTAGCCGCCATAGCTCTCCTACATGCAACCTCACTGCTCACATCCTGCTCAAAGATTTTTTTTCTCCAAGTGAGGATTGGATATATGCCGTTCCGCTCGAGATTAATATATATGTAAATTCTTGAAGATTCACTCATTACTAAAAGTGTATGTCATATAAAAACTAAAGTAATGATCAAAGTTGTCACAGTGAAATTTAAGGTGTGCTGATGGATTCACGTCGTCACCTCATGCATTGAGTAACATTACAAGTAAACGTTCCACCTAACTGTACGTTCACACCAACAGCAACCAGAGCTTCCAAAATGCCGGAAGTCATTCATTTTCAATGAGAGCCTGGCAACTTGGGCAACTTGGGCTACCTGGTCATCAGCCGCGTGTCTTGGGCGACCAAAGCAACCGGAGCGGCTCCAGAGGAGAGTTAAAACTCGTTTAACTTTATGGTAATGAGCTCTGACACAGTTCAGAGACAACCAAAGGGAATGCTGACGTGCTTCCATGAAGCGGGTCCCAGAGAACAAGCCATGTAACTTTGGTTCCTACAACACACTTGTTCCGACAATGGATATCGAGAAGTTTATTACTTGCATTCGCGCCCACTCAGTCCTTTATAATGTGTCGCTGTTCCGTTACAGAGACCAAAATAAAAAGAATGAGGCTTGGGACCGCGTCACAGTGGTAGTTGGTTGGTCTAGTGAGTTCTAAAGTGTGTAATGTTAGTAATAGAGGAGAGAATTGCAGGCTAATGTTGCGACGTGGCATGCAAGTCTTCCTTGCTTGGGTTGAATGGGATGACATACGTTTTCTGTTTTCACTGACCAAACATAACTTTATGTAGGCCAACTAAGAGCTTTTTGACTGGACAACAGCAAGCAGCAACTACGCTGCTTTCAACCCAGTAGTCCGCTTTGTGGCTCCTTTAAATTGAGAAGCACGATTGAACATTCAATGATTCACGTGATGAGCAACTAGAGCAACCAAAGCTGCCACAGATATTTTTGACAGTCGTGCTTCTTGGGCATCTTTGCCTCTTTGGAAGCTTCTGGTTTGAACGTACAGTTAAAAGTCGTCAGCAGTCAGCCCAATTAAGAATTATTTTTTTCTCAGAGAAAAGGCAGCAAAACATCCTTTCATGAACAGTGGTTACATGAGCCTCAAAACCAGCCACAACTCAGCCCTGAGCAGAGTGACCGTCCACCACTGACCAATCAACAGACTGCAGTGTTCACAGCTCCACCTTTTAGTACCAGATCTGTGTGCTAGGTACCCCAACAGAGGGGGGACCAAAAATGGGGACGGTAGGGAACGCTTCCATTGGTATCCACAACTTTTTACAGTGGAAACGGAAAAAAAGCTTACTGAACTGAACTGTATGGTATCATACTGCTCAGTTGTAATGGGGCTTATGATTGGCCAGTCTGCTTTTGAAGGTGGGACTTAAAGAAGGGTCATCCCAAGCCCAATATAGCTTATTCCTCTGTGCCAAAGAGCTCCATTGTTGTCCAGAAACAATTAAAAACATATGATTTTGCCACATATCTGCACTTATGGATGGAAATTGGCACTGTAGTTTATTTTAAATTGGCATACATGATCTTGGTGATGTCATGATATTCACTAGTTGATCCTACCTACCTGGAGATAGTGCCCAACAAATGCACTAGTTACACCTGTTTGAGAAACATAAGCTAAGAGCGAAAGTGTCGAGCTGTTTCAGGAAATAACTCAGCCTTTTGAAAAATATATATGTATGAAACTTAATTATTTTTTGTCAACTTTTAAAAGGTGTCTGTCCCCACTAGGAACAAGTGGGCTTGCAGCTTACTGCCATTGAAAGGTTAGGAAGGTTGGAAAATATTCAGAGACAGGACTAACAAATGTGTCAGTCATTACCAGGTTTCAGCTGCCCATCAATGCACAACCCTCACCTTTTTATTTTACTCTCCATGTCCATGTTTACTTCTCTTGCATGCATTGGCAGGTGGTTTATTGTGTAGCTATTAAATCTACTGCATTCAAACACAACAGCCCAGCAATAAATCCTGTCTTCTGCAGCTTTTATGTTCTTTGTAATGTACCTTTGGAGTGATTTCTGGGCCTAAGCATTGCCGCCCCATACATAATTGTGCCTTAAATGAAACCATCTACTTCAGCATCAATTTGGCGCTACTAAACTATAATGTATGAATATACATGTGGGTCTAAAAAAAAAGCAGGATTTTACTTTAAATAGCAATGGTAACAGAAATAACAAGTCATTTAGAGTACTTATGATTTTCTTTTAGGAGGATGCAGGCAGTCAGAGAATAAGACAAAGCTGACAAAGCTCCCACAGGACGTCCTTTAGCACTATTTATCATTTTATAACCTGGGCCAGTCACTTCCCCAGATGATTCAGCATGCCAGCCTGTCCCACAGTGCCAATTCTAATAGTTTGTTTAGCTAACCACCGTGAAAGGCTATTAATTTCATCTGTCTCCCAAACACACATAAACAGGCACACACACACACACACACACACACACACACACACACACACACACATGTAAACTGGATCAGTGCATTTTGGAGAGCGCTTCTCATCCTGCTGAGAAAGAGAGACAAATAACAACAGACTGAAGAGCAGAGGAGATTTGAAGAAAGAAAAACAGAGTAGTAATCATCAGCATAATAATTACTAGTCTCTGTTGCTAAATGACTGTAATGAAGACCAATTGTCCAACTGGGTTGTAAATTACAAAAAGTAAACCTGGCTAACAAGAGGTATTGTGTGATTTATGGTTCTAATAATCACCAATCTTTCTCTCTCTTTCTCTGTCTCTCGTCTGCTGCGTCTGTCACCGCCAGATTCAAAGAGTGAGTACTGCTCTCGTATTATTCCCATGCTAAAATATTAATGTCATGGCTGTCTTAAACACCTCTCATTGTGATTAATGTGTTGACTGTCATTGTACAATAAAATGGATGAGATCAGTAAGGGCGGTGAGACAGAAAGGACAGCGGACAATCGAACAAATGAATCCTGAAGAACACGGAATCAGTAAATGTCCAAGGAAGATGCTTTTATTAGAGTGTGTGTGTGTGTGTGTGTGGTCATATAGGAGTCCAGATCATGATATTGGACAAGTGATAGCAAGAATACCAATGCCTGTTGGTTGTGCATGTCACATATTAACATTTTAATGGTTTTGGACATGTAGGAACAAAACAGAAGTGGACATGCTGCTACGATTCAGCAAGTTCTGTAAGATCCTTTTAAAAGATAACGACAGCAACTAATTCAAGAGAATGTTGGGAAATTGGGGAATTCAGTGTGCTGTTGTCTCATAATTTCCACTTTGACACTGTTTAGTGTAAGTGTTACATAGTTTGTCATGCAGAGAGGCACCTTAAACAGTTTGACAATGATTCACAATTCTATATGGATTTGTGTTTTCAGTCAAAAAACAGAGGCACAAACATTCAGTATACCACTGACTAAAGGTGCTTTCACACCTGCCCTGTTTGGTTCGGTTCAGTCGAACTCAAGTTTGTTTGCCCCCTAAGTGTGGTTCAATTGGGCAGGTGTGAACACAGCAATCACACTCAGGTGCACACCAAAACAACCGCTCTGAGACCTTCTTGAAGAGATGGTCTTGGTCCGGTTACAAACGAACTCTGGTGCGGATTGTTTGTGGTGAGAACGTGTTCTGACCTGGATCTGAACCAGCTGCAGTCACATTACACATTGTTTGGGTTAAACATGAGCATGTTACAGTCCTGGAGGATTATTAATGTGCACCTCCTCCTGTACTGCCTTAATATGCACATTCAGCACATCCAATGCATCAAAACATTGTTTTCTAGTTGGAGCCGCGCCTCGTTTTCAAACTGTATGGTTTTACTAAAATGAACAATGACAACAATATAGTCCACGATGACCAGCGCTAAAATCAACCTGCGTAGTTGTCCCTCCATTGTGACATTAGAAAGTGTCACATTTATCTTGCGAGTATACTCTTCTTCAACGTTTTGTTTACTTCCTGGATTTTTCCACATGGAAATTCTGACCAATCAAAAGCAGCTTTCTCACACAAGGCATTTGATCTGGTCTGCTTGTAAATGCTGCCATGAGAACATGAACCAACTCTAGGCAATTATACAACTCTGTAACAAAGCAAGCGAACCCTAGGTCTGGAAGCACCCTAAGAGAATAAGACTCTACAGCAATACTAGTGGCTCTGTGATAAATGCTAACGCCCTGATTGGACAGAGCGCGTTTTGCGGCTTACTGCGTCTTTTTTTAATTGTTGCAAGGCAACCACTGAATCACATGTCCTTAAGCTATTTTGTGGTGAAGTGAACTTGCAACATAGGCAGGGGGCACCTGCTCTGGCTCTGATTGAGGGTTAGAAACTGCTCCCAAAGAGTATGTTGGTCACAGGGAAATGCAGAGTTGTGTGGGTACATGAAACCCTTAGAAAGAGGAAAAATCATGGGTAGTACCAAAAGCTGATCTTATGTTGTGTTCACACTGGGTGTAAATAAAAAAAAATTGCGAATGATGTGAATAATGCAAATTAAGCAACTGACAATCTCTTGTCAATTGTCATGCCTTATTACTGTTGGGAAACATCAGAAAGTAGTTGAGGGAACAATTTGTTCAGATACGTCTTGCAGCTTGACTAGTAGGGTGACGTTAAAAGCGAGCTAACATTACGCTACCACTTATTGTCATTTCCACCACAGAAGGCCTGGCTCAGTTCATCTGATTGGACAATTGTGGGTGGGGGGGGGGCAGATGATGTTGGCTGCTTTTAACACTCTGAGTTGAAGTATTTTTTAACTCGAGGCGTGCTGCTGCAAAAAGGTGAGGTGCATAGAGAAGAAAATTGTGTAGCACTTAGCAACGCAAAAGCAGCAAGCAAAACATCCCACTCTCATTGAAAATAATTACAAAAAAACATCAGTCAAATTACTGGATAAACTGAGAATTTGATCCAATGATGGCCCTGGAGGAAAACTTAAATGATCACGAAAGTAATTACAGTTCATCCTGAGATAAACAGGAACAGGAACACGTGAATGTGTGTGCAGAATTCACGTCAATCCATCCAAAACTTGTTGAGACATTTCACCAAAAACAAAAATGTCAACCTCATTGTGGTGCGAGAGAAAATTTCAGGGTATCATCAGAGTCAGTCTCTATCCTCTGGAGAGTTTCAGTGTCTGTACAAAATTGCATTGTTATTCATTCATGTTGTCAAGGCATTTCAGTCTGAGCCAAAATGGTGGACAGACAGACACTACATTACACTATGCTATTATGAGATATTGTGTATAAAACATGTGTACATTGTTAGAATTGCACGATCTGAAAACATACAGAAATAAATGAAGTTGACATGAAAACTCACTTAAGGACTCAGCTAGAGATGAAAGCACTGATGTTATAAGCCCTCCTGCCCTGCTCATGACCGTTTCACTACTTTCAAAGGTCGGGATTTTACTCTTAACTTTTGATACCTAACCCTGTGTTTCCTCTCTGCTGTGTCCAGACGCCAGGCAGAGTGTGCCAAAACAGCCCGTATCCAGATGGCACTGCCAACGGGCAAACCTGGGGGATGCACTGCCAACAACCTGTATGAAGAGCTGGGTGACAACGCCATGTAAGTGAAGTGTGAAAGTGGCATTTACATTGATGAGCCAAAGCAGAGGCATTAGCTCACATTTCTATGACTGTTAAACTCCAGCCTTTGGCAGTGTGCCGTCCTCTGCTTTGAGAGCTTTGTGGTGTCCACACATGCGGTCAGTCCCATAACATTATATTATATGACACTCTATAAGTTGGGACAGGACCAGGGACCACACTCAAAACCAAATGCTAAGGTGCAAAAGGACCAGAAGGAAGGCAAAAAGAAGGCTCTACACACTTGGGTTTAATGTAGTTTGAATACTATTTACCCCCCCAAAAAAGCCAGACTTTTGATGTTTACGTCACCTGTACTATGTCGTGTAACGCACTTGGGAAATGCAGTTTAGTGTTGTCACGATACTGGAATTTCTAACTTGAATACAATACCTTGAAAAATAATAAATACCATTTTCAATACCATAGGGAAAACTGACTTTTGATTTCATACTGGTTTTGTCATGTAAACACATGTTTCTGAAGCCCTTTTTAGACAGGAATTGTGCAAATTTGCAGAAAAGCCCAATCAGTCTTTTTTCAGCATTGGCAGTATAAAAACAAAATCAGGGAGTGCGGCAAAATGCCGCCTACCTACTTTTGTTTATACAGAATGTGCCTTTTTTGGGGCAATGGGGGGCGTGAGCAAGTAACAAAACATGTAGCTCAGCGTGTGACGTAAACAGTGACGTGGGAGGGAAGCCGTGGCTGCTCAGTCATTTGGTGATTCTCTCATAAGTTGGCCCGTTCTTCACCGTCCCCGTCATCTGACGGTTAATGGCCTCTTCGTTTGAGAGGACAAGGAGGGTGCACTATTCCTTGTCTCCCCAGTTGCTCATCTTAACAGAGTCTGTCAGGTTTGCGTTTCCCTCTTGCTACTAGCTGCTCGCTAATTCCTGCTATCAGCTGTTTCCTGTTTATCCACCGCCAGTGGTTCGCACGTGCAGCGTCATCAACAGCTCCTCCCTCAAGTCCTCAACAGCCCCTCCCGTTGCGGAAGGCCACCTCAATCTGTTTAAACTAAAAAGGTTCCGCCAATATGTCTACCCTACGAGGCGGAAAATTGGGCACCTCGGATCAACTCGCCAATCCGGCTCTGTGTGTATAAACGCTCACAGCTTGCCGGCAAAACAGCCCAACATTCACAGAAAATCTGGAAGTGTAAAAGGGGCTTGAGAGTGAGAGGAGGCGGAGCTATATGGAAACTCTAGTATTGTGTGTGTCACCTTGCTGTTGGAGAAAAGAGTGTGAGAAAGCACAGCTGGTATTGGTGTATTGATACTGCAAAAAATGTATATTGAATTCCTTTCAAATATTTACATATAATATTTAGATAAGGGGTGTCAAACGTACGGCCCGTCGACTTCATCAGACCCTTCGGATGACTGTATGAAAGAGATGATCATATCTAGGATGTTCTTGTCCACCAATTTTATCAGCTGCTTATATTCTATTACAATATTCTTATAGACTTTTTTTGGATACTCGATGTAATAGTCACTTATTTTATGTACCGACAACACATACTTCCTGCAGTATGCAGGAAAATACAGCTGGTCTCAAGAGATATAACAGCCACCTCACTAATGGTTGAAACTATAAACCAGCACAAAAATGACAATTACCAACATAAGCCACCATGTTATGAGCAGACGCATTATACACACTCTGACTTTGTATTAATACGAAGTCAGAGTGTGTATAATATGAAGAAAAATAAGCTGCTCCATAATCCCTGACAATAACTGAAATATTTGAGTTCAGGACATTTCTTTTATTTCACTTAAATCTTTATTAAAACAATTTCAACATCATTTTACAACAGCATAGTGAAATAATAAAATATTTGAAAAATAATAAGAGCTAAAGAAACAAAAACTGCCTGGGTAAATACACATCTTTACAGCCTTAAGGAATAGTGTATCTATTAATTATTATTCCAGTCCAGCGTCATCTTTTTTTAGTCTTGTATAGAGTCCATTTTTCCTATTTTCTTTCTTTCTAGTTGTGCTGAGCTCAAACTCAACAACAAAATCCATCATTGGTAGCTCATATTAAAATCCTCTCAACCCAAGATGACGATGTTTGTAGTGTAAAACCAAAATGCAACAGTGCAAAAGTGACAACATAGAAACAATAACTCTTTACACAAAGATCCTGCAACACTGCCGCAACAAAGACCCTCCAAAGACCCTTCATTCATAGATCCTAGCTGCTTTTTAAAATCTCCCATTGGTGGGTCACACACATAACAAAATGTCACACCCATCCTGTTCTGCCAGCTCACACTTTTTAGACTGATGTTGATTCTGTGCTTCTGTCTCCGCATTCCATGTTCGTAGCTTTTATACAGAACAAGGTGGATTAACAGCTCAACGTTCAAACTCTGTCACATCCTTGTTTACTTTAGAGATGTAATTCATTTCATGACTTGTAGAAGTGTTCACCTTCTGAGCAAACAAAACCGCCTTAATGGGGAACGTGGACTCTGCTGGTGTTCTCTGGGTCACTGATTGACGCACGTCCACACCATCAACAGACTTGTTCAACAACCATATTTTAATGGCTGCCAGCACAGGCCAGCAGTTAAACTAATTGGTCATATCTTGAGCCAGTTTCTTGTCAAACTGATGAATGATAAGACGACTGTGCTTACACAATATGTCAGTACGTTTCAGCCTGTGGACTTCAACATCTTGTAAAGAATGTGTTGCTCAAAATATTTATTGAAACTTAAAGATAAATAATACATCATTGATAGGCATGTTACAATAACTACTTCAGTTTGGCAATATATTGTCCCAGATATAACTGCAATAAGCTAAGTTATTGTTATTTTGAGATCAATTTATGCCACTGATATGGTAATATGATAGCATATTAATACAAGTACACTATTACACATTCTAAAGAATATTCAGACAGACTTTATTAAAAAGTGATAAACACTTGTTAATATGGACAAGGAAGTATATGTAAAGTTGTAATACCTTTATATAAGCAGCCCCAGAATGATCAGTTTGAGAGTCAATACAAAATTTGGCCAACTTTTTATATATCTCGTACTTATTTGGTCTCTTTTTCAAACTCAGTGCAGACTAATTTGGATAGATGTTGGAGTGCTGCTTGGGTGTAGATGGACTGTATTTTGTGGTAGCTCATTATTGCATCTCACCTTTAAAGAAGCTAAAATTATCGCCTTCACTTGGGTGTTGTGTTCCCATCAATGCCGACTGGAGCCAGAGGCGATAAGTACCTGTGACTACTGCAAAGTCATTTGACCTGGGTGTGAATGCCAATTAAAACTTTTCCCATTGTATTAAAAAGCCAGATGTTAATGGGTGTTAGCTGGGTTTTTTTGTGCAGTGGAAGAAAAGGGCTTAATAAACAAGCTTTGCAAAGCTCCAGAAGCAAATTTACTTTTCCTAGCATGGCGAAGGCATTAACTGCCCTACTCTCCCACTTTATTTATTTATTTATTTATTTATTCATTGATTTATTTAATTATTTATTGGATCCCCATTAGTCACTACCAAGGTAGCAACTACTCTTCCTGGGGTCCATTACACATTACATCATAGATTAAAACAATATAGAATTGAAAATCCGAGGCAAAAAGAAACAAAATACAACCAAAAAAGCAAAAACAAAAAACAAAACCAGTAGATTACTCACAAAATACTCAGAAATGATCACAAAAAAATAAGTAATAATAATGATAATAATAATAATAGGAATTTTACAGCTCAAAGGAAATTGTAATACTGCTAAAACACCATAAAACCGGCAAAGATTCACATTTAAGTTTGTAGAGTCAAGTATTACATAACAAAGCCTATTTGCAATGGGTTGGTGTTCTGTGCCATTAGGTATCTCTTTGCCCTCTTCTTTAAAACAGCTGTACTTGTTGCATGTGTAATGTCTGCTGGCAAGCCACTCCATAATTTAAAGGACAGAGGGATGTTGTATGCTGTAAAGCCCTTTGAGAGAAATTGTGATTTGTGACATTGGGCTTTATAAATAAAATTGATTGATTGATTGATTGATTGATAATTTCATTCCTCTGAATATTACAGTATGTTGCGTGGTTACACCCAACTACAGCTCCACTTGGCTTACTGTTGTCACGGATAGGCCTACATCTTTGCTTCTTGAAGCCAGATTATCACTAGTCTGTCTGACCCCCCGGGGATACGTGTTGTGCGAGTGTGGCCGGGAGAGTGCCCACAGACAGAGCACGTAAAAAGACTTGACAAGCGGCTCCTTTTAAATGTGTTTGCTGCTAGCAAAATTATACATAATAAATGAAGACAGTGACATATCTTCAATGAAAAACAAAGAGTTTAGTGTTCATTTCAAGCTTTTGTAGTACAACAAATTTCAGAATTGTGCGAGTGCGGCCGGAGGGCGGGCAGCAGTGTTTGATGCAGGAAACTCGATATGGAATTGAAAATCAGTTTCGGAGTGGGGGTGGTTTGGAACGGCGGTGTTTCGGAATGGAGGGCTGTCCCCATGTTGCGTTGCATTTGTTTTTGAAACAGGAAGTGAAAAACAACCTCTTGCCCCATGCCTAGTATTAATTCTATGGTTGTTGCTACTACAAAAAAAAATGTTAATGATAATAGCTTTTATTTATATAGCGCCTTTCAAAAGACCCAAGGACACTTAACGAACAAACAAACAAACAAACAAAATAAGACAGAACAAGTTAAACAGACTAGCTGCCAAAGGCTTGTGTGTATAAGTGTCTTTTCAGCGCAGACTTGAAAGTGTCCAGAGATGGAGCATGACAAATCTCCGTCGGGAGAGAGTTCCAGAGGGTGGGGGCCGCCACACTGAAGGCTCTCTCCCCAAAGGTCCGGGGGATGGAGAGGAGGCCTGAGTCAGAGGACCTCAGGTTCTGTGATGGGGTATGCTGGTGGAGAAGGTCCGATATGTACGGTGGATCGAGGTTGTGGAGCGTTTTGTAGGCAAGCAGAAGTACTTTGTAGGTTATGCGGAACTTAACCAGAAGCCAGTGCAGATGAATGAGGGTGGGGGTGATGTGGTGCCAAGGCTTAGCGCGGGTAAGCACCCTGGTAGCTGAGTTTTGCACATACTGGAGCCTAGCCTGTTGGTGAAAGGATATCTTCGGTTTTAGACAATAGAATATTTAATATAAAACAGCAGAGAAATAACCATCTTGTCCTTCACCAATGGCCAACCTAAGCATGCATTCCGATGATGTCAGCTTTTCTAAAAGAGCTAATTGTCTAGTATTCGTTGCCTTAATATATTGGGATGGTTGGGTTTAGGCATGAAGAGAAGACTGGTTAGGGTTAGTATAAGAATATCACAGTAAGCCAATGAGAGGCAAACTAAGGCAAAGTAGGGCAGGTCATGTCTTCACTGTCCTAGGAAAAGGCCTAATCATTAAGTGTCTTTGAAGTCTGATTGAAGCATGCTGACATTTTTCTTGATCGACCGGTGACCTCAACTCAAACACACACACTGAAATAAAAGTTGTTGATTCATCACACTTGAGTTGCTGTGTTGAACTTTCCCATATCACTCCTGAGTTTGGAGCTCTTGCGAGGATTTATCAGCTGAGTCTCTTAGAGCAGCCTCAGACTGTTGTGAATGTGGCCCTCTTTTATGGTTTGGGGACATTCTCTTCCCTTAATTTTACTTTTTGCACTGGTCAAAGACACTGACATGATGTAGAGGCGGCATTATGCAGAGCCTTGTAACCCCACATCAAACAAACGCCAAACAAAGCTCTGATTTTTGAATGCATTAACAGTCGCAGATAAACCCTGCAATTTTATCTTCACAAAGTTCAGCGGCGTGCAGCTCTTTCCTTGTCAGTTCTCTTGTTGTAATGCATACCAATGTCCTCACTATACAAAAGATAAAATGAAGGTCAACAATCTGTTCACAGAACAACATTCACTTTGAGTGCTTCCTTTTTAGTTTACATCACGGATTTCATCGATTTCAGTACCACTGTAAAAATAAAAGTCCTCTAGGAATGACCTTTGTGTTGATGACCCTTCGCAGCCAATTAAAATATGAGTTTATTTAATGTTTGCTTTGCACACAACTTGTTTGTTTTTGAAATTCTAGTGCTCTTAATTACAAGGCTGTGGATCACAGCCAAGAAACTGAGGCAATATTAATATGCTTTTTGCTGATTATGGTGAAATTACGTCCACTTTTTATTAATTCTGTCCCACGTCTCCACCCCTAACAGTACTGAAGGACATTATTGCCCATCCACTCTCCGCTGCCTCAGAAAGTTTCTTTATTATCGTGCAATTTAGTCATATTTTACTCACCAGGGAGCTTACTGTAGCTCCCTCGTTTCTGTGCGTCTTCTAGCAAATTAAGTTTAATTTATCCTCTTGCCAGTTTCTGCTGCTTTGACACGTGTTGGTTTGGTCAAACAAGAGTGTAATAGTGACTGTACGTGGAGACACCGTATTAACTTTTATCTGAAAGTTTTAACAACCTCACACATACACACACTCACTCGAGGCAATACACAGTTAGTTCATTTGTAATTCCTTACTGGAGCGTTAAGAAGAAGTTGAGAGGAATTCTTATCAGCATTACATGCATCACTGGTTTCCTGTCTGTCCTTGATATGCCTCCCCACTCCTATTAACATGAGAGCAATTCATATGCAAGATGGTAGGAACTATCTCCAAATGACAACAAGGGATTTCCAACTGGTGTCTGTGTGTGTGTGTGTGTGTGTGTGTGTGTGTGTGCGCGCGCGCTTGTGCATGTGCATGTGCGACTAACCAGCCCAAATGATCTTCTGAAAAATGTGTGCGGAAATGAACTTGGATATGAGATAATTGAAATAAATGCAGCCCGTAATTTATAAAGACCACCCTGGGCGATAATTAATTCTATTGATAAGCTGCAGAGCATGTTTAATTGTGGTGGGGAAGGTTTTTTGTGTGTGTGTTGGTGCGTGTGTGTGTTTGCAAAGTAGGCAGTTTGGGATTTCTTGTGCAACACTAGTGTGTGAGTGTGTGTTCTGTATCATTGGAATCGTGAAGAGACTAAATAATCCCTTAAGAGTATAAAACCTGGAAAAGTGCAAAAGTTTGCACATTCATAATTAAGGTCCATTATCAAACTGCTCAGTAGACTGATTTTAGAGGCATTCCTTCCTTTTAATTACCTTTGGCTGTTCACTTGACAGACTCAGGTTTTAATGTCTGTTTTCAATTACCTATAAGAAATTAACTGTTCTTTAAATTATTATCAGCAGCATGTTAAATGAAGCATGTTTTTTTTTTTTTTAAGTTACATTAAAAGTCAGGTTATTTAGCAAAATACAACATGTTTTTGTTATCACATACATCAAGCAATAACAAGATACGTAGAATATGTGCACATATATACTAATTTAAATTCATTTTATTTTTTTCAGCTTGTTCACTGGAATTTGCTGTTGCCAGGCTAACTTGGCTGCTGTATGGTTTGGTTGCTTTTTCCCCATAATTGTCGCAGTTATTGACTATCATTCAATTTAAAATGGCAGATAACAGTTTAAAGCGGGATTTATATTCCTGCATCGAATCGACACCGCACCCTACGCCTTAGCCTGACGTGCACCTCTCTAGAAATGTAACTATACATTGCGATGACGCAGACCTCCTGTCTATTTTTGTAATCTGAAAACCATTTCCCTCAGTGGAAACAAAGCTTTTATTTAGTTTAATTTCACAGATAAGAAACAATAAATTGTGAAGACAATAAAGCCTCCACAAAAATAGCATTTAAAGTCTTGTGTGTGATTTATCCTGGCTTCGTATGAGTAGAGGCTAATCTATAAAATGTAAAATGCCATAGGCTTGTGCTAATAATGTTAGCATGTTATATTTGTTTGAAAAACATGTTTAGTAGACAGTTGTTTTGTCAGTGAACCTTGTGAGTTGTAATAGAGCTGAATTATCTAACGTTACCTTTGTTAAATGTTGCTGTTGTCCTTGGTTTTATATGAGAAGAGGAAAAGTCTGCTAGCTGCTAGGCTAATTTATACAATGTAAAATGCCATAGGCTTGTGCTAATAACATTGGTATGTTGTATTCGTGGGGAAAATGTGTGCATCAAAAGACAAGAGCTTTGTCTGTGAATGCTGCAAGGTATATTTAAGCCGATTTGTGTACTTGTGTTTGAAATTGCCTCTATTAAGCCATGTTTAATGTGTGTTTAATGTGTGTTTTAAATCAGCTAACGATTACAGCACTTTATAGAAACCCCGACACTGACAAGTGTTTTGGAGGTGTAACTGGAGAGTGACACGGACACACTACCGCAGAAGTATAAATGCTTGCAATGGCGTAGGCCACATGTGTAAACTACGGCATAGGGTCTGTATAGAGCTGACACACAAGTATAAATCCCACTTAACACCTTATGCATATGAAAAAAATCCTTATTATTCACAATTACATTGACATTTTTCAATTACCCTTTAAAGGGTCAATAATTTGAATTAAATTAAAAAAAAATCCAATCTGGACCCTTTTTTTCATGTTTTTGTGTCTAAGTTACTAAAGGGAATTTAGAAATTGGTCGAGTACTAGGTGACAGGGCTGCAGTCAGCAGTAGCAATACAGGCTGCCATTAAACCACGTGGGCTTATTGTGCAAAATTCCCCCACGGAAAAAAAAAAAAAATTAACCATCAATCGCCCTAAATCACCATCGCCAAGCACACTAGACTTCATTTAAAAATTCAAAGTCAACAGAAACAAATCAAACTCACAAAACCCATCCTGGTTCGTCTTTCCACCGTTCCAACAATCACCATCTCTGGTTTTGTTAAAATAAGTTCTCAATTCACACAGGTAGATGTGAATATATGCTTCCTCTATACATGCTAAATGCAGTGGGTGGTGGGTTTGGTGATGGCAATTTCCGGGCTGTTTCTGGTTAACCAAAAAGGATCTTACTCTTCAACTAAAAGCTTTATCTCTGAAGGGATCCTTTCCATAATTGTGTCACTTATAATAATAATCTGAGCCTGTCAGTGGCAAAAACAAGACATTTTAGCTAATGTAAAGTGATGATGCATAATTGCGCCGACTGATTCCATAGCCACGTGTTTGGCTGCTGCCAGCTGCCGCTCTGAGACTCGATGCCTGACCAATTCCAAAAATGGTTGTTCCTATTAGTCACTAAGACACAAAAACTTTGGAAAATAGGGTCCAGGTTGAAAATACATTTCCCCTTTAAGACTACCGGATAATATTCACACTATATAGTTCAAAACATTTACTTTGAAAAGCAACTAAGAAAAAGGAAAATAGCTAATATACTGTAATTTGATTAAAACTCAAAAAAGAGAGATCTGATGTGATGAATATCCCTGAACAAGATGATATTACACTTTAATTCTTTGTATTATAAAACCCTTTGACTTCAACACTTCAATCTTTTAATATCTGGTTTTCCAAAATGAATACATGCGTTTGAAACTCATATTGCTCTCTATAACAGATATACTGTATGTGACAAATTAGGCTGTTTTCTGTTCCTAATCTTGTAGCATAATGACAAACAACCGTAGAGGGATGGCAATTAAATTACGACTTGAAAGTTTTATTCCCCAGACAGGCTGTGAGAAATTACTGAGAAATACTCTCTTCTCTCAACAACTGATATCAGAGTGTTGATCTGTGAGGTCTTTTCATTGTACAAGGCACACTGTGTAAACTTTTTCTACTGTCTCTTCTGTCTTCTTTTACAACTTTTAACATTTTAATATTCTGTGCTGTCATTCCATCACTGTACTTTTCCTGTCCTCATGTTGACTGATGTGTTCATCTTCTCTCGTTCTCATCCATCCACCTTTTATCCATGACTGACAGACAAAAGTAAGTCTGATGCTGAAAATCGCTTCACATCTGTGACTAGTTTGATATGATGCTGTGACCGTGTTCTTGCTTTAGTTTTGTGTTTGTGTCCGTGCTTGTCAGTAGCTACTCTTGTTTTATGTGCAGGGTAAGTTGTACCTTGGTAGATCATAGAGCAAAGGTGTGTTACTGAAGTTTGATTGTGGCTCATCGGTGAATTATAATAGCACATAGAAGTGGCCAGACATGTCCCATGAAGTACCAAGAGTCTGCAGAGATTCAACAAAGCCATAAAGGACACCAGAGATTTCACAGATTAGTGCACCTTCAACCACAGAGAAGGATATAATCAGTTCTTTTGTTGGAAGAAAAATCTGCATACTCTCAGAACTCCATGACACACACTTGTCTTTCCCTGCCCCAACAGAGCTGACATTGTTTATAGCTGCGATGCAATAGCGTCTTTGTAGCGCACCACTTTTAGCGTACATAAAATCTATTTGCATTCTTTTCCTTTGTGTTTCAAAACTATTTTTTTAAGCGCTCCATCTCTTGCCCCTCTGGTAAAAACAGCACAGAGAGAAATTGCCGTTACCTTCTTTTAAGATCCCTCCTCCATTTCCTCTCATCTCTGTCCTCATTTATTTCTTAATGTGAAGTCTCTTTTCATTTCATTTATCAAACAGCTGTAGCAGACGTTTTATTGTTTTATCTGCCTTTCTACCATTCTTTATGTATCCTCCTGTTGTCTCTCCCCTTTATGAAACATTTCATTTAAAGATTCTGTGCATTACTGCTCGTTCATTTACATTTCATTCAGTCCCTATCTCCCTCTTTCATTTCATTTAGCTTCGATATATATAATTACATCCTTCCAATTCACTATACCCTCCTCTACTTCATATTTTATCTGTGGTTCTTTTATTATCTCTCCCTTCATTCCATCTTTTTTCTCACATTTTCTTCCATGCATGTACCAGTCCGTCAAACCACAGTGGCGGTGGGACTGGCGGCAGTTTGGATGAAAGCGACCGCCAGCGTCTGATTTCAGATTTTGCCACACGAGCGATCGCTGCCCATCGTCAGTGCGTCGCTAACGGAGGGGTGCTCAACAACCTGCCCAAGTCTGAGTCCAACATCACCTTTCTCTCTGATGAAAACCCCCTGACCATTAAAAATCCCATCTACCATGAGGACGGGACGTTGAGCAGCCCAGAAACTCTTGGTAGAAGCCAGAGGAGAAGAGACCTTCTTGGGAATTTCACCCCTTCCAGGAAAGGCCTTCGAGAGGCCTGGCTGAGGCTCAGCTCCCCTGGAGGAGACGTGGGGTTCGGTGGGTACAGTGGCAGTGACAGCGGGTGGGGATCTGGAGGTGGACACAGCTGGACTCTCCCATCAAGGTTGCATCGAAGAGAGATGTACGACGCTTTGAGGCGGCAAGTGGTTATGGATCCCGTTCAGTGGGAGCTGGAGCTTCTAAAAGCTGAATTCAAGGAGAGTAAAGATGCTGGTCTGGATTCAGGATTCGACCGTGGGTTGGATTCCGATTTGATGGGAAGCCCAAGTCTGGAACCCAAGCTGACGGTCAAAGAACAAGCGAGACAGTTTGAGCAACAGGCGCTCCAGGAAATGAGGCAAAGGCAAAGCAGAGATTCGCGAGGATCTCTGTCACCTGATATGTTACTTTCTGTTTTCCAGGAGTCTCCTCAACATCACAAGCAAACCCTTAATGCTTCACCTGCTCACGTCAAAGAGGGTCCCCCGAGTATCATTGTCACCCACAGTGATGGAGGAACCCCTCCACCAAGTCACAAGCCAACTCCTCCTGTGCTGCGGCGCTTCGGGGCAAATTTAACAGGAAATCAGAGTCCGGAAGAAAGACTTCAGGTCCATTTAGACGTCATCCCTGATCCCCCATCAACCCCTCCGCCACCGCCTCCAACCTCACCACCTCCACCTCCATCCCCACCACCACCACCTCCACCTCCCACATCTGCTCCACTTCCTCCATCATCTCCTCCTCCACACTGCCCTCCCTCCCCTCCGCCTCTCCCTCCTGCTTCATCTCACTCCAACCATACAGAAAAGCAAAATCCTCCTCCACCACTCCCACCTCCTCCCCCGCCTCCACCTCTCCCTCCCCCTCTGTCGCCCTCACTCCTGCGTCCATCCACCTTTGTCCTCCCATCAATCTCGGAGGCGCCCACCCTGCGGCCTGTGTCCCTCCGGCCGCCACCTCCACCCCTCCCCATGGAGCCCGAACCTCCCCGAAAAGAGCTGAAAGGAATCTTAAAGAACATTCAAAACATCGCCGACATCGAGAAGTCAGTGGCCAACATGTTCAGCCAGATAGATCAGAAACAGATCCCACTCAAAAAGGTCATGAAGAGCCGGGCCTCCATGGATTCTCTTGATTCCCTTGACTACTTGGATTCATTAGCAGCAGTAGCAGCAGGAGGAGGAGGGGTGGGAGGAGAGGGAGGTAAAGAAGGAGTAGGAGCAACAGGAGAAGCAGGAGAAGGAGGAGAGGATCCCCCACCCCCACCCCCACTTCCACAGATTCAGCCCAACCCAAACATGAACTCCATCGTGGAAGAACTTGAGAAACGATTCCCCTCTCAGTCTACAATGCTCTAGCCTTTGCCTTTATGATATGGAAAGCACACAGAGAGGAATTTTTTAACATTGTTGCATAGTTGCGGCGGAGCTGTCAAGGGACTGATGCTCAAAATAGCTCAGTGGGATGCTGTGATGATTCGGTGATTCTTTACTGCACTACAGCTGTGCTCTTCCAACATGACTTCCTGTTTTCTACATAAGGAACGAAAAAGAACTAATATAAACTCTGGGTACAAGTAAAATGTTCATCCTCTCAAATGATGGAACAGAAAAGGAGAAGAGAGGGAAGGTGAACAGCAAGAAAGGTCACATCCTGCACAGTCCTAATGTATTCATGTAAAAGCTGAAAAGGGCTTCCTTCACTATTTCTCTAACAGTGAAGGATTAAAGGAGTGGTGAAGAATGAAGATGAAATGATAATCAGGTCAAGTCCATTTTTTTAAGTTGTGTCCCCATTTCATTGAACCTGAACTACAAGGAGGAATTCAAGTAGTATTTGTTTGGAGGGCTAACTCATTATCTGCCTCTGCCATTATTCTAGTTTCCCCACAAACGACATTTCTAGGACTTGTTTTTTTTTTAATTAACACTGAGGAAAATTGGCTTAAATTAGCTGCAGATGGGAGCTGTGAAATCAAGTGATTAGAAGTGGCAAAATGTCTCCTGGTTAACTTTCAGTTTGACTGCGTTCATTACCATTTTACATCCACGCCAAGTGATTGACATTCTTGTCAACAACAAATTATAATCAGTCAAAGACACATGATTGCTGATGGGCCCTCTTGCTGTTGTGCAAAGCTAATTTCAGGGTGTAAAACACACCCTCTGGACGTCTTAACTAGTTGATTCTAGATGTAGTGGGTGTGAAATGTTAAACCTGCCAACTTGGATTGAACTTTGCTGGACATGGATTCTTTGTATTGTTTGTAGCATGGATAGTATTCCACTGTTAGAGCCAGTGACATGATCAGTGTCACATTCTGTCTCCATTTCATCTGTTCTCACTGTTCCATAGTTACCTAATAATGTATGATCACAGATTCTGGTCTGTGTATAAGGACACAATCCATCTGTTCCTGTCAGTAGGTTGCTGTTAGCAGACATCTTTCCATCTTTGTTTAATTTGAGTCAGGGCACAACTATGTATCTTTATCAACCCTGTCTCCTAGAAATTACATATATATGTTTTACTAAGTTGTTGTTACCATTTACATCACGTTACTGAATGTAGTTACTGGCTGGACTGCATTCACAGGCAATGTTTTATGCCTCCGTGTCATCTAGAACCGTGGCTGGTGGCATTATGTTTTCAGGTTGTCCATCCATCCATCTAATTATTGTGAAGGTGATATCTCAGGAACCTTGAGGGATTTTATTCAAATTTGGCACAAACGTCCACATGGACTCAACAATTAACTGATTAGATTTTGGTGGTTGTTAAAGGAGCTAAGTCTATTACTAGCTACTGAGGTATTTGACCAGGGTTGATGCTCAGTACAAAACAAACAAACAAAACTGTAGCAGTCCGCGCCATTGCGGTCAAAAATCATTTGCCCTTCAGGGCCAAACACCTGATGACCATAGTGAGGTCACATCCTAAATGCCTGAACTCACCAGGTCACAGTACAGCGCCCCCAATGCCCACACAGTGAATTACACAGTTAGAATCAAACCTCCCAATAACATATTTGGCTCCTATAGTGGTCAAAGGTCACCATGCTCTGGTCTGTCAAATTTCCCCTGAACATGATATTTTAGGTACACACTGAGGGAATTTCTTCAATTTGGCACAAATGTTCACTTGGACTCGATGATGATTTTGACACAACATGTTTTTGACCATAACTCAAGAATTCATACACTAATTGTGACAAATTTTAACACAATAGTCTAATAGGATATGATGATGCGGTGATGACATTTTATTTTCATTTTATTCATTCATTTTATACCATTAAAATGACGTTGCAGTAACAATCCAAAGTACATGTTGTTTTACTGCTCAGTCCAGAAACAGAATACTCTGCCTTCTATTCCAGGCCTGGCAAAAAAATTCAGCTACAAAAAAGGTTCCCTTCCTGAAACAAAATTCAAATTTTTCATTTTACTGAAAAGTACATTCCTTATGTCTTCATATACAGTACAGGACAGTAAAACAAGAAATGAACCTCATTCTTGACTTCACCCAAATTACACAACAAACAAATTCTGTCCTCCTCTGGGGTAACAGTAAACCTTCCAGTCTCTAAGGCTAATGGTAACGTTTCTGAGCTCAACTGTGCACATGGAGATCTTTGTCTTTTGTTTAGATAACACTTCATGTAAGGTTTAAACAGACCAGTTTTTCTCCAAACATGCAAAATATTTCACTCCCAATCTCCCAAATATCACAGGTTAACCTGTTTTGAGAAATAAATTGTAAATTGACAAATTGTTCAAATAAAATAATGATTTCAACTCATTAGCCCAGGAATGACAGTGGGAGGTTTCCAAATTAAAAATCTTTTCAGTGACTCTCTGCACTGACATCTTCACAAGTCTATTCCACAGCTGAAGCATTTGACATTGTGGTGATTGTATAGATCCTCTGTGCTGTTGGGGTGAAGATGTGTGAAGCATCCATGTTTTTTTGTAACTTCCTTGCAGCAACATCCATATTTGAAGCATTGTCTACTGTCATGCCTATGTATGAGTCTGCGCAGACATGGGTGGAAACTAACTGCAACTTGACTGGTTCACAAAGGCATACAACCACAAAGTGGTGGTTCGAGTTTTGAGTGAATGAAAAGCTACATTCTCTTTCTAATGATATATACAAAGCACAACAGAGACCTAGGTGTGCATCATAAGTCCTGTCTGTAATTACATTTAGGCAACAAATGCACTCTGGTTGAGGTTAGATAAAGATCTTGGTCAGAGGATGTGAGTGGAGTGGAGCGCAAGCGAGCGGGGAGGGCAAGAGGAAGGCTTTTGAATGGAGTGCAGGGCAGATTTTCAAAAAGGTTAGAGCGTCACTTTATCCCCCACTCAATCCTGCACCAATTTTGCTCTGGGACCACTCACACCATGAGTTTGAAGCATGCCTGACCCAGAATGCACCTGTGTACCGTGCACACAGTATTATCTATTGAAAATGTCTGTTCAAACCCGACAACGGTGTACTCTCACAAGGAAACTGAGAAATTATACAAGCTAAAATTAAAATACAACACAGCTCTTTTCTTTTTCTGGTGTGAGTGATTTGAGTGAAGCTGCCTCTAGCTGCTTTGAACAGGAGAGCAGAGGGAGCAGGGAGTGGATATTGTCACCACTCCACTCCGCTCACATGGTCTGAACTTTGGGTTAAATGTTGATAATCACATTGTGTTTCGGGATTCAAGTCACTGTGGACTTTTTCAGTTTTAAACCAAGACCATAATCTTTCTCTAACCTTCACCTTAAGTACTGCCAGAGCCTGAGCATACCTAGGAAAATGTTTGATAATGCGTTAGTCACCATGAGCTGATATTGAAAGATTTTAGGCAGAAAATCAAATCAAAAACTGATACATTTAGTACAGAATTAACATTTTTGTGACTTGTACACTTGATTTGTTTTTCATCAACATTTCTCATTGTGTTGATGGAAACTATAATCCTGCCAGCTTTACGTTTCCTTCAAAATATGAACATAATTTGCAGGAGACAGGGTTTATCTTTTGATATGAATTGGTAAGTACATCAACATGTGTTAAAAACTTCAAATTGCAAATGCAGACATTGTGAAAGTGAAACATTCCTTTTGGCTGTTGTCTTTTGTGTTTTTGTGTCTGTTCCGCTTTCTGTCAAATATTCATTTAGTTTGTTTTGGGTTAGGTGCATTGATACAGTAGAGAAATGTCTATAACGTTTATGTAGAGTGTTTTTACAATATGTGCTACATTTTTATGAACTTTTTTCTATAGGGTTGTATTGCTTCTTTTACCCAAGGTTTCCCTCATTAAAATCAATTGGGAAATAACTGATTTGAAATATAAAAAGTTTTTTTCTCAATAAAATATGTGGTGCTGATGAAAATATCAAAGACAGTTTTTATTTGACACATCACTTTGAAAACCACCTCAGTGCTGGAAGAGTAACTATTTAGAAATTGCCCCCCACATGAACCTATAGTGTTAGCTATTGTAGTATTCATTCATTCATTCATTCATTCATTCATTTTCCGTAACCGCTTATCCTTTTAGGGTTTGCAGGTGTGCTGACCCTATCCCAGCTGACACTGGGTGAGAGGCAGGGTACACCCAGGACAGGTCACCAGACTATCACAGGGCTGACACATAGAGACAGACAACCATTCACACTCACATTCACACCTACGGACAATTTAGAGTCACCAATTAACCTGCATGTCTTTGGACTGTCGGAGAAAGCCGGAGTACCCAGAGAAAACCCTCGCTGACATGGGGAGAGCACAGAAGCTCTGCAACGGGGGGGCTCCCCCACCCTGGGGTTCGGGCCCCCCATCCTGGGTTCAAACCAGGAACCCTGTTGCTGACGCAGTAATACTTACCAATGCAATACTGTGCTGCCCACTATTGTGGTCGTTAGTACTAAATAGTCCCCAGTCTTGTGTCACTTAAACATTAGCACTAGTGGTACAGTCACCAGGATAGAAACCCCAATCATGTACATCAGAAGTGAAGCAGCAGTGTTATGGGCATGTGTAAAGTGGAACATCTACTGACTGACAATGACGGCGACTGTGCAGTTGTTTTCTCTTGATGGAATTGTGCCAGAAAAGTATGCAGAGGTAGTCATGTACAGAGCCTCCTACATTTGTAGCATATTAATGAGGGAATACAATGTTCCATTCACCTCAGGTATGAGACACTGTGTTTAATGAAGGTCACACAGACACATCAGGCCAACCTGAAACTAACCACTGGACTTTTACGTTTGATGATGTGTCCACTGATCTAAAGGGGTTCATTGTTGAACAAATGTTTTACTGCTTTTAAAACTACATAGCAAAAATATGCAAAGTAACACTGATCTTCCATGCAGAAGCCTCCCATCCCCATCTGTTTGTTTGCATTTAGGCAGATTAACAAAAAGCTCAGTTGGGCAATTGCCTTGAGCCTTATACTTCAGAGGTCTTTGCAAAAAACAAAATGTTTGACAGGATCATTTAAGGTCATAAATAGCTAAAGATCTGTTTTCATTTTGTTAACGAAAACTATGATGAAGAATGTTCATCATCAGCCTTTTTTCCATGACCAAGCATAAAACATTGACAAGCTAAAAAAAATGGATCTTTGATTATAAAAACTATGACAATATATGTTTTGTTTAAGTTGACGAGACAGGACTACAAGTGGTGGTGGGCCATCAGACTGTATGAGTGATATAAGATCAGGGTGCCTAGCACCAGGATGTTTCACTAGCCTGCAACACACTCAGCTGTATCAGCTGTAAGTGGATGACTGACATGGCATCCACAGTCAGACATGATCCGTCTGACTGTGGATGGTGGAGCTGTTGAGAGGATTTGTGGAGTTTTGTTGGTTGCAGTGGTGGCTGTTTGCCTGACAGGCAGGTTGGAGGCTCTGTTATCTGTGAATGTAGCTGTGCTGTAAGTAAAAGGTCTGAACTCAGTGGAGTTATCTTTGACAGAGCTGAGAGTCCAGTTGTAATCACAGACTCTGAGAGAACATGAGTTTGAACCTCCAGACTAACGTGTTGCAGATTTAGAAAAAAAAATCAGGCTGAAATAAAGTTACTTCTCTGCTTCTTCAGAGTGAGACTGAAACGTCAAAGTTTACAGTGAACCTGGGTACAAATATTATCAGTGTGTGCTTATTTCATCTTTTAAACCTGGAAAGGATCTTTAAAAACTGTTGGAGAAATGCAAATTGCAGTAATTGGATAGAAATTATATGTAGTTGTAGAATAAAATTGTCTGAAAGAAATGTCAACACTTGATTCAACCTGTAACCCCAATTCCAATTTCTGTAGTAGCCTAATTGGATTAGTTTAAAGAGAACAAATATTCTGACTTAGAAAAGTTTGTTGTTTTTTTAAGGGCAGTACAACAATTAAATTAAGCGTTGACAAGGGCTAAGGGGGCAAGGTTGTGTATTTGTGTCTATGTGTCTTTGCTCTTCAGGTTTGACAGGCAAAAGGATGGGGAAGAGGAAAAAAAAAAAAGAAGGAATGTATATTAAAACTAATCCTAACTTTACCCTATTACTACCAGTTCCAGTAATTAGATAATAATGAAGTCAAGAGGAGTGTCCCTCCGTCCATTGGAAGTGGAACAGTACTGGGGCGCCATCGGAAAACTCTAGAAATGACAAAAAGTTAGCCAAAAATGACTGACTTTTAGTCAACTTAAACTACCGTAAAACTTAAATTACTTGCCAGGACTATCATTTGCTTAAATCACTGAACTCAATAAGCTTATATTTGGGACAGGTGTCTATAAGGGACAGGCCTTTAATTATTTTTATACAAAACTGTTGGTCAGCAAAGATGGAAAATACAATCAAATTGTTTATTTGAACCAGTATGAATACTACTTGTATAAAAAATAGGCTTCGAATAACATATCAATTATGTGTTATGTTATGACTATTGTTTTGTTTATGGCACTCGGCATACCGACACAACACCACTTAATCCTGCTAAAACAATATTAATAACTTGGATTAATTTTTATGGAAAACACTTTTGATTATTCTCATCACTGGACACTTACGGACTAAAGAAATATAAATAACTTACCAGGTAATCAAGGAATTGACACATTCTTATTCTATGACAGCTTCAGAGGAAGGGAGTCACTGCTTGTTTTTTCGTCATGCCGGTAAATCTAAATGAATTACGCTCTTCTCTAGTGCTCATGATTTCAGTAAAATGAACTGAACCAAACTAATAAGGGTCAGCTTATCCATATTGACAAAAGTTTAAACATTTATATTTACTTGTGTGATCTAAACAGCTAACAAACGTTAGCTCCAGTGGGTAGTCAGCAAACCGGTTTTATACATCCAAAGAACTTCCATAAAAATTAACTGCTTGGCAACCAGACCAGGAGTCTAATTGAGACAGGCCTTTATTTGTCTAAATAGGTAGCTACACCAGGCTTGTAGAAGAGACTGGGCGTTTAATTGGGACTGGGCTTTAAATGAAAGTTTTACAAAATAAAGGATAATAATGCCTAAAATGTGACTAAACCTAATGAGAATTTCTGTCTTAAGACTTAGACTAACTCTAACATAACTACCGTAATTAACATTGTTGAAAATAAGATTGCAGATCAGCTGGCACGGTGGAATTTTGCTACATTTAGATTTCTGCCTTCTCAGATAAAATATTATCACACATGCACACACAGACCTCTGCAAAGTTTCTCTTTGATATACTTTTTTTCCATATATACATTTAAATTACATGAAAATACATTTTTAAACTCCGCTGGTGAGATTCACGGGTGATTCTTACCAGGAATGTCATCTGTAACTGCTTGTAAGATATGTCAGGCCCTCCCCTTTCCTTTGATAAAATACCTGTAGCTGTTACACAGCAAAAAGCAATGACAAATCTGCCTCTAATATGACCTCTGCTTTACGGTTAACCAGATATGGAGAGAAGAGGGAGCCTTTGAAGCGCAGACATTATCTTAAAAATGTCTAAAATTGACTTGTAAGTGTGGAATCAAAGCCTGTGGATATCGCTCTGTCAGCAGCAGATTTCACTGCCATCAGCTAAAACCGTTTAAACAAGTTGTCTCCAGACGCATATTGTCATCATGAGGTGACAGAATCACATCTGTCCCGCAAGATCAGCATGACACTGATGATTATATCTGGGCAATCAGATCAAATCATAATGTACAGCTAAATAAAACAAACCCTGCTGGTCATATCTGTGGTTATCGAGGGATGACATTATGAGAGGATTTATACTGTCTCCAGTGGAATCTATGGAGCTGGTGGTTGCGCACACACACACACACACACACACACACACACACACACACACATTCTTGTACTTCTATCTTTGTGAGGACCCTCCTTGACATAATGCATTCCCCCTTACCCTACCCTTAACCATCACAGCTAAATGCTCAACCCCAACCTGTACCTGAACCTTATTCTAAACTGAACCCTAAAACCAAGACTTAACCCTAAAACAGGCCTTTGAGGAAGTGAGGACCAGCCAGAATGTCCTCACTTTGCAAAAATGTCCTCACTCTGTTACTAAAATACATATGTTGGTCCCCACTATGTAAAATGTACAGGTAGAAGCACACACATTCTTGTACCTCTGTCTCTCTAAGGACCCTCATTGACATAAGGCATTCTCTAGCCCCTGACCACTAACCCTAACCATCACATTCTATTTTTTTTTTTTTTTTTTTTTTTAAAGATTATTTTTTGGGCTTTTTGCCTTTAATAATCAGGACAGAGTGAAATGGGGTGAGAGAGAGAGAGTGGGGGTTGACATGCAGCAAAAGGTTACAAGCCGGAGTCAAGCCTGCAACCGCTGCAGCGAGGCATCACCTCTATACATGGGGCGCCGGCACTATCCACTACACTACCAATGCCCCACCCTAACCTAATTCTGACCTGAACCCTAAAACCTAGAACCCTAAAATTAAACACAAACAGATTTACTTTCTCGGTTTTCATTGTGTGTTTTTGCTTGAGAACAGACGTCCTTTGACATCTTTGGGAATATGTATTGTTTACAACACTCAGCAAAGCCGACTGCGTTTAATTTAAACCGGATTGGGAAACATAGATATGAGACAGTGCGAGAGAGTGGCTGTCGTGTAACTGTAATGTCACAGGTTTGATCCTTGCTATAGCAAAGATTATCATGGGAAATGTGGTCACTGAAGCAGCAAATAGCTATAAGATGCTGCAAAGACAATTAGATTTCAACACGTGTCGACCAACGTGTGTGACTTATTGAATTGCAGTTCTC